AATCAAACGCAAGCACACGCCCCGCACTTTCATTAAGTGTCCTCTGTCTGCTTCGTTCCTCTCCAATGATGTCTGCTGATTGCAAAACCTCGTTAAAATAAGGTAAATACAACTACCAACCACATAATCAACATTATTAAAAAAAGTCCGCTGGTGCTTTCAGTGACTACCTCGCACAGAGAACCTGTCAATCACAGCTGTCAATCATGATGTCAGAGCACCGTTTTTTATCATCACATAACTAAATAAAAACAATCTAATTTTTAAAAACGAACACTTGAAATTACATCAACGTTATAAAAACTACAGTAAATGACAGAAACTATCTTTGGAAAAAGGATATGTGAAGTGTAATTTAATTGTTTAGTTGGTCTCGCGTCCCATTGAATAACACGGGGAGGCGGGGGTTATGAGCTATACTAGGACCGGTCACAGGGGGGCGATCGAGACTTTTTGGCTTCACTTTTGAGGGCTTGTGCAGCACGCTTGGAGAGAAATGGAAAAGGTATCTTATCTAACTCTGGGGGATATGGTGAATAAGCTTAAGTCCCAAAAAGTCAGAGTGTTCCTTTAAAATACCTTTGACCTATACAAACTTTAACCACTAAAATTCAGTACAATAACCCTAATAAAGCAGGTAAATGAGGATGAAAAAGAAACGACGTTGTGTCTCACCCGTATCCAGAAGAACCAGATGCCCATGTTACGGATCCCGGCCATGGAGGTGAAGACAAAATACATGGTGATGGTGGTGATGAGAACATAGTCTAGTGGAAATGCCTGAAGAAGAAAGAGAAACATCAACAGTAACTCCCGAACTCCATTCAAGGGCTACAAAATACTCACTATTCAACTACACACACAACAAACACTTAGTGTGGGCTTTAGTATTAACTAAAAGAACTATTAACTTGACAATGAAGATGACTAGAAGTGTTGTCCGCTTTCAGTGCCTTTTCCTTGTGTACCAGAATGTTTTTTTAGAGTAAGTTATATATGTTTCCCAAACATCACAATGCTGGAGGCACAAAGGCACACATATAAATATACATATATATATATATATATATATATATACACTCACATTCTCAGTGGTGGCCTAAAATACTGCCACTCCTGTGCGAGAGATGGATTGCTTCACACAACCGAGGTAATCTTTCAACAATTCCGACTATTTTCAATACATTTCCTCTCAAAAGAGCCACAGGAATTACATGTTAGAACTGTTTGAAAGTCAAGCTAAAAATGGTCCTCTTTTTCTGGAAGAGCTGCTGGCTCATACAAATGACAATGCCTCTTCTGTTGGCAGCTTGTCCTCCATAACTCCACTGGTGCTGAAAAGCTTTTTTTTTTTTTTTTTTAATGAGCAAAACACACACTGACCTTACCTGTTGCCCTCATATCAAGAATGGAATATGGTCGGTGACATCACAAAGCACAAATTAGAAATGTTTCTGGAAGCATGAGCAATAATTCTCTGGCCTGCATGTCTTATCTCTTTGCAAATTACTTTTCTTTTTCCCTTTTCACATTTCATTGCTGAAATCAATGGTCTGGATTCCTGAACAATTTGGTTTAATCAAGCCATCTTAAGTAGCGAATAAAACAAGCGATCATATTTTATTCAAGCACATGGAAACTGATCATTGCCCTACTTGAAAAAGATTGAAGGATTTAAAATCTCACCCAATAGCACTAAATGATGAAAAGCGTACTTATTACTTATTTCCAAGTCATAATAGCACTTAATTCAGAGGTCATCACATCTTTTTATGAGGCAAGCAGCCACAGACCAAGCTCCAAGCTGTTTAAGGTCAATGTACAGCTTTGTACTTGCAGAATGTGGAATTATGGCTCAGTGGCAACACATTTCCTGGTTTCTACTTCGACTAGATACAAACTAGATGAACTGGCATCTAATGATGATGAAAATTAAGCTTTGTCATCAAAAGAATGACATTACATTTTAAATTTAATTGTATGATATTACTGTTTTTTTTTTTGTTTGTTTTTTTTGGTTAAAATCCTATTTCACAATATTACTATATTTTTGTTTCAAATATTATCTCACAATGTTTTTACTGTATTTTCTTCAAATAATTGCAGCCCTGCTGGTGAACCTGTTGCACACGTTACAAGTAAATGTCAGTTACGTAATAAAGTTTAAATAAGTAACAAGTTAAGTTGTGTTTCGATGTATTGACTGACAGCTCTCCTGTCCCCATGTTGAGAGAAATTGAGAGTAAAGGTGCAGAGGCGTTTGCGCAGTGCAAACATGATGGTCTTTATAATTCTAGACTAAATGTAAGCAGGTATTTACTCATCTCACTTGCACAAAACATATTCAATATCCCTTAAATGCAAACTCAGAATATTACACAAACCTGCAATAATTAAATATGTTAAATAATACAAATATACTCTATATATTTAATCTAATTGTATTTCTTAAAGGGGTGGTTTACTGTTTTTTTTTCTTTGCATGATTGTGTTTAAGGGGTGCAATATAACATGTATTCGTGGTTTTTCTTTTTCAAAAAGTCTTATTTTTCATAAACTTCACCTTTATTGTTAGCCGCGCTCTCCTCTGTCCTCGAACGAGCGGTTGACTTCCTGATTCTATGAAACCACTCCCTCAGAAACAGGCAGTGGGCTCCGACTGGTTAGTTTGGGCTGGTGTGTTTGATTGGCTAAACTGTCGCTCACGTTGTCCGGAAGATTAACGCCCATTACCTTTACGGGTGAAACGTGCCTGCGCTCCGGTCCAGATGTAAATAATGGTGTCGAACTGCGGTATCAGTTTGAGGCAGAATCAGACCGAGAAAGCGGCGATGAAGAGAGGCAAACAGAACCTCACCACACACGGCTCTTACTAACGTTTCTGAATGATAATTTGCTACATTTTTTAACTTTATACACTTTTGTTTAACACAATAGCATCTCACTGGCAATAATAGCAACTGACTGGCTACTAATGTTATTCACCAACAGCGTTGGCATTGTTTTACGTTCTTGATCAAATCGAGAATAACGTCATAAACATATATACATGAAAAATATGTTTAAACATTAGTACTTATACAAAATTCAGGTCCATAATGTTTGTACGCTTTTGTCGTAGACAGAAAATAGCATAACTAGTAGCCTAGTGGCTATAAAGCGAGCGCTGGCATTTGATAAAACTAAAACACAAGGCTACGTCTGGAATTATACATGCAAATACATTTAAAATGATGAAGTCTTAACCTACTTACAGATTGTGGCCCAACAACTGCTGCCTCTGGTTTTAAAGTTGGACCTGCTTTATGTTTTAGTAACAGTTTCTTGTTGAATCCGGCATTGAACTCGTGGAGATTCTGGAAGCTGCCTTCCGTAAAATGCGCAGCACAGAGAACTAAATTATGATCGTCATTTTTAGGAACATAATCAAACATAAATTGTATCCATTGTTGACGAAGTACAGCGTCCGTGGGAAGCTCGAACACAGAAGACCTGACATCTGGGTGAACATCACAGACTCGACGAGCCGCAGGAATATGCATGCCCTTTTTTGCATTTTCCGGGGGGAGGGTTGATGTAAATGTGTGGGTTAGTGACGTCTAAAACCCAGCTGTAGTCCCAATCGAGTCGTTTTTGTAGGCATTAAACTTCCTGATTTTAAAAAGACGATATCTCTGCTTACACTAAACTTTCAACGCTGCAACTTTGCAGATACTGTTCATGCACCAACAGCAACATTACACACTATTTAAAATGAAAAAAGTGAAATCGCAGTCAACCCCCCCCTTTAAGTAAGCCTGTTAAACTTTCTTCTCCTGCGTCCAATTCTTCTGCTCCCTCTACTGAATAGGCGTAAATTTGCATTTCCTTCAGCCTAAAGCTTATTCATTTCACTTTTGGTGTGAAAGGGCCTTCATATTTGACAAAAAAATAGAACTTTTTTGTTATTTAAAAAAAAAAAAAAAAAAAAAAAAAAAACAAGCACGTGCAGCCCAGCCCAGTAAAGCAAAAGTAAAGCATTACTTCCCATAAAAAGTAATTATGTAATGCAATTAGTTTCTTTTTAGGCAGTAACACAGTGTTGTAAAGCATTACTTTTAAAGTCCTCCTGTAGTCAATACTTGTATCCCTTAAAACTAATCTTTGATCACCAGAATGACATATTTAAACATTTTTTACTTGGAAAAAAAATTTTCTTCCTGCCTTAAAATTGCTGGAATGTAACTCTACACACTTATGTAGTATACCCGGTTCTATGAATATTCAAATTAGCCCCACTCCCACTCACTCACACACCAGCTCAGAGATCCACTCGTTGGCGTGATTAGTTACAAGGCAGTTTGGGATGTCAGAAACACCAGCGATTTCAAGGGGTGGACTTTCCCCAACACTGCATAAGAGATTTCTCATATGGAGTACAAAAAAAAAAAAAAATGAGTTAATGAGCCCCAAACTTTTCGCTGGAACAATTATTTACAACAATTTTAACACAGGGTCTAGGAATCATGTAAAGCTTTTTAATACTGCTTAAAAAAAAAAAAAAAAAAAAATCAGTATTCAAAATGCCCCCATGAACTTTATTCAAAATATATTGGTTAATACATAATTTTATACTTTCAATTTATGTTATTTTATAGATTTAATGGCTTTAATACAATTGAAAAATGAAGGAACTAGCAATAATAAGGAATGAGTAGGCGTGTCCGAACTTTTTGAATGACAGTGTGAACTTGCCAATTAGAGAATCATGCATTTCTCATTGCTGCCGGTCTCGGCAGAAACTGCCTACGCCGAGCAGATCGCATTCTTCACATCTATTGCGACACATCCACGGCTGCTACTTCTAAGTGTCGTAGTAATACCAAAGCGAACAATGCATTCCATTTCTGGCACCTCCTCCTCCCGAGCCATTACACAACTCTGGTTGCACACAACCTGCCACTAGTACTTGAGGACACACTGTGATTCTAGAGACAAAAGAAAGAGAGGATGCTGCTCACCGGTTGCAGCGCCAGCAGTAGCTCATTAAGAGGGTTGGTTAAGTTGGTCCCAAAGATGATAAATCCAGTGCTGATACCAGCTGAATGTAAAGCTTTATCCAGACTGCAACAAGACAAACACATTTAACAACATCATCACATAAGAGACTGAATTAGAAACATCATTAACCACAGTTCTCCATGGTCTGCTATAGTAAATTATTGTAAGAGTGAGCTAATTTAGAGTGCTGCAGGTGTTGATGAATATGTGTGTAAAATAACAACAGATTTATGGTCGCAGCAGCATTGAATCAACATGTCTTCAAGAGCTTTTCAATAGTGCCAGTCATTTGCTGGTGAATGTGTGTATGTAAGACAGAGTAGATGGGAGTAGAGCTTTAGTTTCAATCAGTGTGACATTTCGTGCAGGTTGATGGAACATACTTGGAAATAAACAAGGTCACGAAGAACAAAAGGGCCACCAGGATGAAGAAGACCCCGAGCAAGATCTGACAAGACATAAAAAGAGACACCGTTACAACAGTAATTCGACAAGCTACTTCAAAAGTTTAGTAACTTTACTTTAGAAACGATCCAGAAAAAAAATTAGGAATATCTGGAAAAAAAACTGCATCTGATCAAAAATACATGAAAAAAAGAAATATTATTACTATTCAAAATAACTCTTTCTATGTTAATATATTGTCAAATGTAATTTAATGTAATTTAATTTATTTGAAATGGAAATCTTTTATAGCAATGTAAAATTCTTTACTCCCACTTTTGATCAATTGGTTTAATTATAAAACTAAAGGGATAGTTCACTTTGAAATAATTTTTTGATATGTTTTAGCTTACAGTACCTGAAGGGCATCCATGATTTAAGTGTCTTTGTTTCCACATTATTTTCAATTTTGATATTTTTAGGTCAAACCGTTCTTGTCTGTCAGTCAAATAATGGAGGTATATGGAGTCCACCTCAAAGAGCATTCACAGAGAAGTCCAAATTAAAAATGATTTAATGACTCGTATATGTAAGTATACACTGATGGCCTAAGACACAAAACAAGTTTGTTGTCACTTCCGGCGCATGCACAGACCGAAGCGCCCGTGCCTTCAGATCACTTGGACGTGACTGTGGTTACAAGAGGTAAAAACGATATAAAATACAGTTCGTTTTCTCACACAAACCGCTCGTTCATGTCTTAGGCCATCAATGTGTACTTACATTTACGAGTCATTAAATCATGTTTAATTTGGACTTCTCTGTGCATGCTCTTTGAGGTGGACCGACCTCCATTATATGACTGACAGACATGAACGGTTTGACCTAAAAATATCAAAATTGAAAATACTGTGGAAACAAAGACACCTACATCTTGGATGCCCTCGAGGTAAGCTAAAACATATCAAAAATGTATTTCAAAGTGAACTTTCCCTTAACAGGTTTCTTAAATTACTTTAAAATATCAGAATAACACATCATATATATATAGACATACAGTATATGACTTTATATATGATTTTTATATATATTATATAACTTTATTTCCTGATAGATTCCAAACCCACATGACCATTTTTGTTCTCCAGATGGAATAATAAAGAATGTACTGTAATGAATGGGAAAAATGACCACTCAATTCCTTGTGTTTTGCTGCCATAGTTGTTCACACAAAGCTATTGTATAGCTTAGAATACAGAGACACATTTTATGATACTTATATTGTGCTGTTCTGCCATTGTGGATCTTGACAGCCTCAGTACTCATTTTCTTTATTAATACTGAAGAGTTGCTTTGATATTCTTCAAAAATTCTGAAGAAAGACAGTAATGCAGGTTTGGTGTGACATAAAATTGAGTAAATAATGACAGAATTTTCATTTTAGGGTGAAGTGAACTATGCCTTGAAATAACTCAGTGAATTGATTCTTTTGAAGTGGTTCAGTCTAAATAGCAAAAATGAAATCTGATTTCCAAACATTACTTCACTACTGCTCAACACTGATTTACAAACACAGCAGAAAGTATACACTTGAGCACCAAATGTTTATGCAGAGGACTGAAATCTAACCCAGAGGTTGTCACTTTTTACACATGGCCATATGGTGCGGCCCACCTCAGCCTGACACAAGAGTCGCCAAGAGTAATATGGGCACAAGCTCTCTAAATAAAGAACAGACTGAACTGCAGAGGAAAGAGTAAAAGAACAAAGATGGAGACACAAACACTCACAACCCACAAAGCAAAACAAAACCAAAATGCCAGACTGAACGGCTGCCGTTGACTGGCCTCCAACGTCTGTTTGACTCGACTTGAAGGAGTAAACAAAACCCTGGCATGTGCAGTAATCCAGATTTTCTCAAAATAAAGATACCTCAGAGAGATCTATTTATTGATTATACACATCTATCTGTCTGTCTAACAATGCGAATACCAACCCTGACTAACAAATAACCACTAAAGCAAGTGACATTCACATTGGACACAGATTTCCCTCAAGAACAATATGACAGATTGTGAACTGTAGCGAGAAGATAGATTTGGAAACGAGCGTGAATCTGCCTCCGAGACATAATCTATAACTAATTCAAACCAATGACTTCGAGTTATTAGTGATGCTGGAATTACGCTTTGTGGTTAAAAACGCAGCTGGAGCTATTCTAAGAGTATATTAGGAATTTATGTCTCAAGCTGTTGCTGTAATCCCAATAATAAACGCTCACAGTTATAGCTGTAATAACAGTGACAGCAAGAGTTTTAACTTTACCCAAAGAGTACATTAATAACAACAAAAGTTACAGCATCACACTACAACAATTCATTATTCAGCAAGCAAACCACAGACTTCAATACCCAGTATAAACACAGCTACCTAAAGCATGTGTGCCTATCCCTAAGGACAGTACCTACATAAGATTACATGTCAACATGTTTGAAATGTTGCTCCTATGTTCTTGTTCCCCTAAGAGAGGTCTGTTGGACTATCAAAGAGGTTTCCACAAGCATCTACTCAGATGCCATGTCCAAAAAAGAAGCAATATCACAAATATGAGATGCAATATGTGAATTGTACACACACACACAAAAAAACAAAACAAAACATTAAATATGTAAAAGAAGAGCTGTGATAATGGGTTCAGGATGAGCACGGTTAGCGTTTCTCATTTCTTGTTTCAGTGGATTGTTTTTGCGTGTTGGGCCAAAGTGAACCGCTCAAGGCCCCTGGAAGTCAGATGCCCCTGGTCACATTGGCCCGGTTCATAATCGTCCTTGCTCTGAGCTTTGCCAAGGGCTGCTTTATCAGCCTGAAAGTGCATTACGGGGGAGATTTTTTTTTTTTAATATCCTTTGAATGATAACGAAAGCCTCTGTAGGTATCACTCACTCAGGCTCCATAAACAGGTTTATTTTATTTTATAATTGGGCTCGTGACCACCTGCCACCGCCATCAAACCGGGGCCTGCTGGGTTCTAATGTGCGAACCTTTTGACGTGTGAAAAAGCGTGCGTGTACTCTGTGCGTGTACAGATTCAATGTGTTTATTATTTGTCGCAAAGGAAAGAAATACATGCAATTTGCATGGTAAGTGTTGTTTCCCCTTTTCTCAGGGCTCATTAAAACACCCAAGCACCTCCAATACACCACTTTCAATTTTCCAAACCAATTTCCTCTGAAGATGAAACGGTAAACACAATAATTAAAATCAATCAAAGTTAATCAATCAATCTGATACAGAATTTAGGTCAATTAACCTGCTCTCTTAATGGAATCAATCACATCTGCCGGGTCCACATTAGAGGGTAATAGAAGCGCGCGTTCATGTGTTGTTGAACGCAAATGTGTGTGTGTGCGATCTCTATTAGTCTGTGCTGACAGCTGAATTTATCTAAAATCATCAATAGGGACTCGCACATCTCAAATCGCCCCATTGGACCACCCATGCTCCAGTTAACAAACCACCCACCGGACCTCACTTTCATTGGCTCTCGCAGGAAGGCGTGCCATGCCGTGACAAGAACTGTGTTGAATATCAGTACACATGTTGTGTTAACGAAAACTACAAGTACATGTGAGACTTCTCTGCAGGGGGCGCAAAGTGAAAATAGTCCTTGGAGGATATGAAGAGGAGATGTTGACCTCGAACATAACTGAGGGCTTTGAAAACCTTTGCATCAAATCATTAAATTTAACTGTAAATCAAACACTGTGAGATCTCTCAACTACGTGACGGTGTAAACAAGGCGCAGTGAGTGACGGAGAGAGCAGATTTCTCTCAGTGTGCGTTTCCCCTGAAGCTCTTGTGGGGAAATTAGTAAATCTCAAGCCTAGTTTAGGTATAAATAGAGTCTGGAGTCTATCATTATAGTGTCATGCTCATGTCTGCAGCTAAAGGGCCACTATAGACAGAAACAAGGAACCCCCTCTGGAGCACAGCATGCTGGGAGAAAAAAAAAACAAAAAACGATGCAATGATTTTAAAAACCAGCGAAAGAATAGAAGACTGCAAACATTTTAACGATAGACTAGAGGAATGCAGGAGTACTACAGAGAAGCTTGTGACAAACAGCTATTTTGTGCAGGACTAGATGCATTTTAAAAAATGACAGTTCACCTAAAATTAAAATTCTATCATCATTTCATTACCCATATTTTGTTATTTTGAAGGTTGATAGCCTCAGTCCTCATTTACGTTGTTGAAAAGAACAGCCAAGATTGAAATATTATCTGAGCATGTTACCATATGGTTTAACAACAACATCATATGTTTAAATCCCAGTAAGCACACGTATTTAAAAAAAAAAAAAAGAAGAGTTGCCAAAGGCTTAAATATAAACATTATATATTCAATCAGAATTTGGCTTCATTAGCTAGACAAAAACAGAGGAATATTTGAAATAAGTGTTTGTTCAGTTTGGCGAACCTGTGCCAAGGTGATAAAAACCAAAGGATTTCTCGATTCTCTTAGGAATGTGTGTTGGCATTCGTACTCATAATGTATGCCTTATATCAAAGTCACCATGAAAATTAATTTCCTTCACACCTCCCCCTTCATATACTAGACTTGATAGACCCAAGATATGATAGAGACAATAATTTAAAAAAAAAAATAATTAGTGACGAGATGACGAAAATGCTTAAAAAAAAATCAAAAGGGAAAAAAAGAGTCAATGCTTGTATAAACTTTATCCAAGTAAATTACACTTTATGCAACTGATCTAAAAAATGCATGATAGTTAATAGCATGAAAACTTTTAGTAAACATGGAACAGTAGCCATTTTACTAACGAGTAATGAGTGAATGAATGAGTGTTTGCAGGCAGAATCTAAATTTATCATTATTCTCAATTATTGAAGTAACATTCATTAATTTTAACTGCATTGCCAAACTGGCAAGATTTAAATTCACAGCTCTTTGACCCACACTGACATCAAAAGGAAAGAAAAAGTTGTTTCAGATGCAGAAAAAAACATTCTGATGAAAGCCAGGAAAATGTATTATGGAAGAAAACAGGGTCAATTTTGATTTCATGACTTTCAACACTTTTGAGAAAATGCAACCAATTTGAATGATTTCAGATAAATGTGGTGCAACAGGGTGAAGATTGCAGTTCACTCCAGAAGCTCTTACTGATGCCACTCTTACTCCATCAGAGAGAACCGTCACCTCTGGATATGTCAGTGTGTGGGAAGACAGATGTTTGTGTTTTGAAGTATTTACTGTTTGAACAAAAATGTGAAACTCTGACCTGATATTGAACTACTGCAAAGTCTGTTAAAGTTTATCTGCTAAAAATCATTGTTACAGTTATCAGCATGTTTTTTTTTTTTTTTTAGTCACATTTTAGTCTTTCACTCACCCTTAAAACTATTTTGTGCAATTTTAAATCATCAATGGGGTGATTCTGTGGCAAAACTCAACAAACCTTCATGGGGCGGAGAGCAGAGCCCACTTTATTGCAGCAGTTCCTCTCTGCAATCTCCAGGTGACGGCCCCGCCGATGAAGCATCTGTAGTTTGGCTTCAAGATCCTCGAGGTTCCTCCGGTCTCTCATGGAGAGAGGGCGCCCATCGGCACACTGAAGAGAAAAGTACAAAACAGCTTATTGCATAAAAGTACATTATTTACGCTGGATTATATTGTTTTTAAAGTAAGAGTGTTTGGTTTCAAATTCAAGAAGTCTCCAAGTGGGGTGGTGATGGCACAATGGATGAGACACATGCCTTTGGTGTGAGAGACCCGGGTTCGAATCCACCAATGTGTCCCTGAGCAAGACACTTAACCCCTAGTTGCTCCAGAGGCGTGCGACCTCTGACATATATAGCAATCGTAAGTCGCTTTGGATAAAAGCGTCAGCTAAATGAATAAATGTAAATGAAATTGGCACCATTGTTTATCCATTTTTGCATTCATGTATTTTATGATGCAAGTAAAGAGCCCCTATTATGCTCTTTCGAATATTACCTTTCATGCAGTGTGTAATATAGCATTTTGTGAATGTGAAAGGTCTGAAAAGGTCTTGAAGATCAAAGAGCACAACAAATAAAGTTATTGTCTCCTAAAAGGAGAAAAATCGATTCTGAACTGCCAAAAAGGAGGGGTTTTGAGACTGAATCTTTGACCAGACCGTTTTTAGATTGAGAAATTAGGTGATGTGACAATTATATTATGAGAAAAAGTGTTTTTTGACCTTGGATGCATGTAAAACTGTTGCAGGAGACCTCTAAACAAAATTAGGAACCTTTAAAATAGCATAATAGGGCCACTTAAAATGATCTGCTATAATCTGTTACAGTTTTGTTAGTAAGAAAAACAAACAAAAGTTAAATAAAATTTATGTAGTCTGGGTCATTTTTTTTTCTTTTTTGTGTTTAGTTTATCGTTTATTTGGATGAGGGACGTCCAATAATCTGACTATGCAGGCCTCTACCTAATTTGTCTTCATTTGTCAACCAAGCTGAATTTGCACCAAAATACTGTTGTTTTGTACTGATCTTTTAACAAGTTTTCTAAGCCTATTAATTTTGCAATCCTAACTACACTACTGTTCAAAGGTTTAGGGTCTGTAAGGTTTTATAATACTGTTAAAAAAGTCTCTTAATTATATATATATATATATATATACATTGCCTTCCGAAAGTATTTAAACCCCTTTGTTAACTTTGCTCTTCATTGCTACCTTGTGTTAAACTATTTTATATGACTTTTTACACATCAATCTACACTCCATACATCATAATGACAAAGCAAAACAACCTGATTTGTGACAACTTTGCAAATTTATTAGAATTAAAAAAAAAAAAAGATCTGCATTTGGCAATTTCCTGCCATTCTTCACCTCAAATCGTCTCAAGATTGGTCAGGTGGACAGCCATTTTCAGGTTTCTATGGAGATGTTCAATTGGGTTAGGTTTTCTGGACTAGGTTTTCAATAAGGCAATTTATTTAACCCCCCAGTCATTGCCAATGGAAAACACCCCCATAGCATGATGCTGCCATCATCACAATTTACGGTTAGGGTTGTATTGTGCAGGTGATGAGCAGTGCCGGATTCTCGTCCATATTGGGCCAGAAAGCCTACCACACACCAGCTCATTGGTGGAGATGAGACAGAGTGATGAATATATGAATATAAATGAGGATGATTAGGACGCCATGATGATGATGGACAGTGCCCAATGGGCAATTTTGGCCAGGATGCCAGGTTACACCCCTACTCTTTTTTTCAAAGGACATCCTGGAATTTTTTATGACCACAGAGAGTCAGGACCCCAGTTTAACTTTTCATCCTAAGGTGCTTTTTGACAGTATAGTGTCCCCTTCATTATACTGGGGCGCTAGGATCCACACAGACCACCTCCTGCTGAACTCACTAACACCTCTACTAGCAGGTTTCCCTTCCAGGAACTGACCAGGCTCAACCCTGCTTAGCTTCAGTTGGCAACCAGTCTGATGTTTGTCTTTCTGTAAATTTCCATCTCCATTTATGATCATGAAGCTTTTTGGTGACCACTCTAACCAAGGCACTTCTCCATTGATTGCTCAGTTTGGCCAGGAAGCCAGATCTAAGAAGAGTCCTGGTTCTTCCAATCTACTTCTATTAAAGGGACACTCCACCCAAAAATATAAATTCTGTCATCATTTACTCACCCTCAAGTTGTTGCAAACCTGTGTGAGTTTCTTTCTTTTGCTGAACAGAACACAAAGGAAGATATTTTGAAGAACGATTGGAACTTTGGCACCATTGACTTCTTGTGCTCAGTAGAGGAAAGAAACTCACACAGGTTTGCAACAACTTGAGGGTGAGTAAATGATGACAGAATTTTCATTTTTGGAAAAAAAAATGAAACCTTATCCCTTTAAGGTTTATTCAGGCTATGCTTCAGTGAACCTTCTTCCCCAGATATGTGTCTTGACACAATTCTGTCTCTGAGCTCTACAGACAGTTCTTTTGACTTTCATGGCCTGGTGTTGCTTGACCTTTTATTGAGAGGTGTGTGACTGAGTTTGGGACAGGTTAACTTGGAGTGTAGCAACATGTACAAGTGAAACTGGAACAATCCTGAGCTAAATTTCAAGTTTTTTGCTTTTTAAAGTATTTTAAATTTAAAAATCTTAAAGTAGTTTAACATAAGGCAGCAATATTACAAAATGTTGAAGAAAAAATAAAGGGGTACTAATACTTTGCAAGGCACCGTATAACGATCAATTGCATTCTTTATGTGCATCTCTTGACAATCCTCAGACCAATTTTGGGTCAAGACCCACCCGTTGTGAACCACTGACATGAATGACAGTGGCTCATCCTAAATAAAGGATGATCTGATCTGAATTCAGTTCACACACACAGACCTTGGCTTTGAGCTTGTCTATTTGGTGCTCCACATCCTCCATGTCTTCTGTGTTCTCCAACCGCTCGTACAGGACGCTGCGCGTGCCTTTAATCAGGTTCAGCGGCAGCACGGACATCCCGTACGCCTGACGGAGAAAGAAAGAGCTTTAAAGACCAATTATACACCACTCACAATCATTGGGTAAAGTGTCATCACAATTTCACCAAGAGCCCAACCGATAGCCCCAGTGAAAGGAAGCTAAATCCATACATTATGGCACTTGATAAAAGAGCGCTTTCTAAATGGTGTCATTCAGAAGCCCACTGAATCCATGTATGTGTTTTCTGTGCAATGAGGATGAAGAGGAGGAGATGAGAGAAAGAAAAGAGTGTGAGAGTGTGTGTTTGGATGCAGCAACCATTTTGAGATGCAGGGCTTGATTTCCACGAATGCACAGCTTAACAGTGCCCCCATGTGACGACACTCAGCCGGAGCTCACGTTCATGTGCACAATGCATCAGAGAAGGAATATCCGAGCTCATGTAGGGAAATATGATCAAACCTGGGACTTTCTGAGAGCTGGAAATCAGAGGTTACCTCAACGCCCTGAGCTCATCGATGACCCCCCTTCTCGGCATTAGGAAGCACGAGTCTAATGCGGTAAGGAGAGAAAGGCTGGGGTCAGAAGCCCACTAGCCTTCGCAATATGGGCTTTTGTGAACTTTAATTAAAAATGAAGACCTTCTTCAATACTCTCCTAGAAGCAAATCAATACAGGCAGAGAATAAGAGAGACCAGGTTGTGCGTGCACACACCTTAAGGAAAAAAAAAAAAAAAATGCACTCTCACTCGCAGGATTCTGCCATTTTCAAAAGCTTTCATATCAAAAGTCAGCAGCACAATTAGATCTTCAGAAGGCGGCTTAAACACTGGTGACCTTTTTATCTCCTTTGCCGAAGATGCTTTTAAAGCAGAGAAATTGGTGCTCTGTAAAACCCGTTGCAGCGGGCGCCTTCAACGTCGCCATGGGCCGTGACACCCCCTGCTATGAATCACGAGGGCTCTAAAGGCCGGACCATGTCCCGAATACCAAGCGCTCCTCATAAAAGAGGAATCTGTCCTGCATCCCCTGGTGAGACGTCTCCTCCTCCTTTGCCTCCTCTTTCCCATTCTTTCCTGCCCTCCTCGCCCCTGCAGTCCGTCACGCGTGAGAAAAATAAAAGAGACACTCCAAACAAAAGCAGGTGTGTTCTGTGCTGATTGGAAAAGAAGACCTGAGGCACGAGAGAGAGAGACAGATAGTATGATAGTTTGAGAAGGAGAGAGTAAGAGAAAATGTGTAGAGATGTAAGATGAAGGGATCGCGGTTGTCAGCTGGGAGATCGGAGGAAAGAGGGATGAAAGTGGGGATTGGAGAGAGAGAGAGAAGAGAGAAAAAGTGGAGGCGTACACCCTCTTATACAAGGATGCTTTTGTTCGACAGCCTGCATGGGAAAAGTGTGCGCTCTGCCACAAAACTATGAGTTTCTTCCGACTTTCCTTACACTTTTCAATGTTGCAGGTATTGGGAGGGAAAAAAACTGGGTGAATTTTTTCCAAACATAATATACTCCTCTGAACTCTTTATCAGGGTTTCCAATTCCACACTTTTTGACTAATGAATTAAGGACTTTTCTAAGACCTTTCTAATTGCTTTTAAAAAATTATTGTTTCAGTAAAATTTTCCAATAAATTATTAAAAATTATTAGCTTATTTTCCAATTGGGAAAGAAAAGAAAAATCACAATAGACATTTTATATTTAAAAAAAAAAATAGCACACAAATTGGACTTCAAAAAATAAAAAATAAAAAACATCTAGAATAGATAAAACATTTTTAGATAGTTTAAATACAAAAAAAAATTATATTCACTTAAATGTACATGAATTAATATTTACTTTCTACTTATGGTGGCTTTTTAGAAGCATGATTAAATTAAAAAAAATTACATTGTAAACTTTAAACTCTGTTTTGAAAAGTATTTCATAATAGGCCTTTTTGAAAATAAATTCAAAATAATTTTGAAGAACATTATGAGGTTAAATAATAAATGTAGCATTATGATAATAAAATAATGTTTTTGCATGAAAAAAAAAAAACATGAACATGACACTTTATCATTTTGAATAATCGAACAGAAACTTTGTGTTTAGGGTCATTCAAATGCACATCCAATTCATGTTTTGTTCTTGTCAATGGACAATAAAGCCATTCTCCAAGAAAAAAAAAAAATCTGCTGACAAAAAACATGAAATAAATATTATAATCAGAGCATCCACTAAAGTTACATGCACTACTAAACTACCATAAGATCATTCTTGGATTAATGTATTAAAACACTACCTTCCTCAGTGTCCAATGCAATAATGAGGACACAAAGACTAACTAAAACTGTCACACAGATGTACAGAGAGTTCAATACGGAACAACCAATGGTCTTCTGCCAGATGGTCTCTCAGTGTTTCTTCTGTCCTTTGTAGTCTCTAAATTAAATTCAAACATGTTACACTGCTGGAAATGGGGGGCTAATTTTATTTGCTGTTGGTTTGGAAAATATAAAAGTGTCAATTTACACCACTCAGGCAGGTGTGGAACACATTGTGTGTGGAAGAAACACATCTGTGTCACTAAATTAACATAATATTGAATATGTTTTATAGCTCTGGTTCTGTGTGCTGATTGGTCAATACAATGTTTCACCTAAAAAAAAACAGTACAGTCAGTGTGCAACTCCCATAGCACTGTTAGATGTCAACCGTCAACTTTCTTTAAGATTTCTAATGAAATTGTAAACAATAACAGAATGTATTAGGTATACAGTCATTATTTAGGATGGATGGATGGATGGACGGACGGATGGATGGACGGATGGGCGGACGGGTGGATGGATGGATGGGTGGATGGATGGGTGGGTGGACGGATGGATGGACGGGTGGATGGATGGATGGATGGGTGGGTGGATAGGTGGGTGGGTGGATGGATGGACGGACGGACGGGTGGACGGATGGACGGGTGGACGGATGGACGGGTGGGTGGATGGATGGATGGATGGATGGGTGGGTGGATGGATGGATGGATGGGTGGGTGGGTGGGTGGATGGACGGACGGATGGATGGATGGATGGATGGATGGATTGATGGATGGGTGGGTGGATGGATGTGTACGGACGGACGGGTGGACGGGTGGGTGGATGGATGGGTGGGTGGATAGGTGGGTGGGTGGATGGATGGACGGACGGACGGGTGGACGGATGGACGGGTGGGTGGATGGATGGATGGATGGATGGATGGATGGATGGGTGGGTGGATGGGTGGGTGGGTGGATGGACGGACGGATGGATGGATGGATGGATGGATGGATTGATGGATGGGTGGGTGGATGGATGTGTACGGACGGACGGACGGGTGGACGGGTGGGTGGATGGATGGGTGGGTGGATAGGTGGGTGGGTGGATGGATGGACGGACGGACGGTGGACGGGTGGGTGGATGGATGGATGGATGGATGGATGGATGGATGGATGGATGGATGGATGGGTGGGTGGATGGATGGGTGGGTGGGTGGGTGGATGGACGGACGGATGGATGGATGGATGGATGGATGGATTGATGGATGGGTGTGTACGGACGGACGGACGGGTGGACGGGTGGGTGGATGGATGGATGGACGAAAGTTCCTTCACTGAATTCAATACATACTATGAAACTGAGATAAGCAGCCAAAGTATAATCATATCTCGAAAACTAATCAACAAACAATTGCCCTATAAAAAAAAAAAAATAAATAAAAATGATGTTCTGTCTCAATCTCATGAATAGGACTGAGAAATGAAAAAAAAAGAAACTCTGTATGGTAGATAGGAGAGAAATGAGAGCTGGGAAAATGAAAATTGTGGGATGTTGTTGTTGAAGTGTCCCCTCGGATGCACCCGGGATGGCGGGAAGGAGGGAGAGGCTCTCTCGCCAGTCGCAGCTCATTTTTGCAGCACTGTGATTAAATCAGAGGAAATTAATGTGGTCACCCTCTCGTTGGGAATCAGCATCTTTGGACCGCAGATTTAAGAGGGAGAGGAACCCTCCAGGGCTGAACGTCAGCACGCCAGCCAGACTTTTAAATCACCACTGTGTCACGCAGCACAGGGACCGAGACGGCCCACGGTCAAGCAGACAGATCAAAGAGCCGTGATATACGCTCATATGCATATGCAAGTATTACATGCACATTAAAAAGTCAGCGGGTCAATAATTTTTATTGTAACGTCACACCAGCAGCAAAAGGAGCTTGATATAAGACCTCAGCATCTGTATTAGCCAGTGAAGGATGTTAAATGGGTTCAAGTGAGAATGCAAGTGGCGTTTTTGATGTCTAAAACCACTCAAGCACAGGAACCGGTTTAGACTTTGGGAGGTCAGGAATCGTTTTAGCAGAAAGGGGCATGATCAAGCATAAAACACAACTTTGAGGGCGATAAAGGCTTCTTGAAACGGCATCTTCCAGCAGAAGAAAGAAGCATCTACGAGTTCATAAAGGTGTCGCACAGAAGAACTCTTTCAAACGATCAACACAGATGAGGCGATGATGAGTTCAAGGTGAAGCAACTGGTGATCAAGAATGGGAAAAGTTTAAAACGAAGTGTCAAGAACTGACACAATAGTAGTGATGTGGCAGATGTGAAACATCATAGGCCTTATATAGAAGGTTTAAAAGAAGTGTCCAAATGCTTGAATTCACTTTTGGGAGGATTAAAACTAAAATATGAGCCACCGCTTTCTACAGTTCAAAGAATAAACTACATTTACCTAGTTTTTATGTATTTTTCTGAATAAACGATTCAGCCTGAAACGTTTGCAACCACATGCTGTCGCACTTAAAAAGCCCGATTAAAACTCACAGCATGATTTTTTTTTTTTTTTTTTTTGAGAGCTGGCCATCCAAGCACTGTATAGGTAAAGTTAGCTACGCCCGCCCTGACCATATGGCACTTCAGAGGCTTATTAACAAGCCGAGGCTCCTGTTTGTATGTGCTTAGGTTGAATATTAATTTCCCAGCAGCTCAGCAAAGTGTGATGCTGGCCAATAACAGCAAGTGCTGAAGGTCTGAACTGCTTGCTTTAGCGTTTAGTTGAAACGCAGCCGGCCGTGGTGTTGTCATTACGAGTTTACATCTCGGCCAGCCATATGAATTAAGAGCGAGTGGCCACCTTGGCACAAAGTGCAGTGATAAATTAACCTGCCCACTCTGGACAACACTGCTGCTGCATACGGCGCCCATCACTTAGATTCCATTAGGTTAATCATGCATAATAATAACACATAGGCCAGTATAATAAATCATCCATCGCCGAAACTTGAGGAGGATGGGATTGGGGAGGATGGGTGATTCGGCATCTTTCTCGAGGGTTAGTGTAGAAGAGCCGAGAAAAGAAACGATAGGAAAAGAGAAAGCGCAATAAGAACAACACGAGTGAGTGAACCCTGCTGTTTGACAAGGAATCTTTGATTGATTCTGAGTTTCTGAACCAGAAGATCAAAAACAAGAACGCACTAGGAGACTTTCTTTCTCCGTAAGCCTCTCTTCAAGATTCTGACAACACGAGGTCAGACAGGGGAACATTAACATCCTCAGAGTGTTCTGGAAATTGTCAAACCTTTTAATGCAAGCACTTTGAAATCCCTAATTATGAGAAAAACATAGGAACTTTGGAACTCAATAGAGAACTAAATACAGATATTTCTGGTAACACTTTAGTTTAGGGTGTGATTCTCACTATTGACTAGTTGCTCATTAGCATACACCACTGGTCAAAAGTTTTAGATCGGTAAGAGTTTTTTTATGTTTTTAAAATAAGTCTCTTCTGCTCACCAAGGCTCAATTATTTGATAAAAAAACAACAACAAAAAAACAGTAATATTGTGAAATAGTATTACAATTTAAAACAGCGCTTTTCTATGTGAATATATAGTGAAGTGTAATTTATTCCTGTGATCAAAGCTGGATTTATCATCATTACTCCAGTCTTCAGTGTCACATGATCCTACAGAAATTATTATAATATGATGCTTAAGAAACATTTATGATTATTATCCATGTTGAAACTGATCTAAAACTTTTGACCGGTAGTGTACATATTACTAGGATATTGGCCGTTAATTGGTACTTATTACACGGCTCTGTGGAATACTTGATTCTGATTGGTCAATCGAGGAATTCATCGGTATGTTTTTCCTCATGGAAGTTTTGCATTTGGTGAGCTAATAAAATATCAAAAATCTATATTTTTTGTTTTACTTCATTTAATCATGCCATCCAATATTGTGGACTCGCTCTCTATAGAGTTCCGAAGTTATGACGTCACGTGATTTAGCATTTGAGCACTTCGGGTTCCCTCGCTCTAAAGTCTATGGGATTTTTGAATGGGTTTTTGCTAAATCGCCTGAAATAAGGTCTGTGGTGAACAAAGCCTCTATAAAATATTTTCAGATTTTGATCTATGACATAAAACACACAGTTATAACCTGCTTGTGTTTTTTTAAACTTTATTGTGTCTGGTTGTGTTTTTTCAAAATGTATCAATTTTGGATTAACTTGCAAAGATTATCTTGATAGACAAAATGTGTAAGGGTCACAACTCTTTGTTGAACACAGATCTTATTTTTTGCGATTTTCCAAAAGTCTATGGGGAAAATGCATTGCTTTTCGATCGAGGGAACCCATGTGCCGCGTTTCATCTTAAATTAATATCTCAGATCCCCCTAATTATTTATGTGGTGAAATGTCATGTAATATGTAATATGACTTTACTGTATCACTTGCAGCGCTAACAACTGCTCTCTCTGCGGAAGCTTTGCGTTTAAAGACCTGATAAAATATTTTGACTCAGATCAATATTTCGTATCTAATTATTTACTTATGTGGCAAATATCCATGTAATAGAGGGATAATGTACATCCAGTCGGTTGTCATCTCAGAATAACCCGGTGTTCATTCTGACATAAAAACCGGTTGGATTAACATCATTCCTTACTAATATTATTCTGCATGACATATTCTAGATCCCTAATCCTACCCAATTCCTATACTTAACCTTACTAACTATTAATAAGCAGTAATTAAGAGGTTGCTGAGGAAAAAGTCAAAGTTAATAGTTAGTAATGGACTCTAATCTGAAGTGTGTCCAAATATTTATAGAAATATATATATTTTTTTTTAAATCGTGTGCCACATTCAAAGATATTCATCCTCATTTATTTCAATCCCTGATAAAGCATAGATTCTCATAGCCCGGTTACTCATGATGCTGGTGATGAAAAATGGATGACATTAACAAGTGTTACAGTACAATCAATTTATCTTATCTGAATAGAACAGCTACAGTATGCTGAAGGAATCAGAATACGGGCGTTTATTAATGGCCTTCAGGCTCAGATATATAAATAGGCGAGAGATAACAGAGCATATACATCACACTGACGTCTCAGGCACACGTCCACACACATTGGTGAAAAATGACAGCGTGTCATTTTGAGCGATTGCAGGCCAAAACGCAAGAATCACAAAACATTTCTAATGTTGAGGAGCCGCTTCATCATCCAGGATGACTACAATCAAAGACAAGCGGCTTTTCTATCATACGAGAAACCTATAAATGCAATAATCAGTTTCTACTACTAGTTGCCATTACATTGTTAAAAAGATACTCCACTTTTTTTGGAAATAGGCTTATTTCACCACTTCCCCAGAGTTAAACACTTGGGTTTTACCGTTTCCGAATGTATTCAGCTGATTTTCTGATATTTAGAAGAATATCAGTAAACAGACAGTTTCTGGTCTCATTGACTTCCATAGTATATATTTTTTTCCTACTATGGAAGTCAATGAGACCAGAAACGGTCTGGTTACTGATATTCTTCTAAATATCAGAAAATCGCCTGGATACATTCGGAAACGGTAAAACTCAACTGTTTAACTCTGGGGGAGTTGTAAAATAAGCCTATTTCCAAAAAAGTGGAGTATCCCTTTAAAAGATTGCTGTTTGTTTGAGCTTCCCAATCAACCTGACACTGGAACATTGGTACAACCAATGGTGTGAGTTAGAGGTAGGATTATCTGTTTATTCAACCTATGATGAATGGAGCAGGTTTGGGGAGTGTGTTTTTGTGTGTGTGTGTGTGTGTGTGTGCAATTTGCCAGTGTGGTGACAAGTGCTACAGAAAATAAACACTTCAACCTGTAAAACTGTAGATAAAAAAACAGAATGAAATTGTGACGACACTTATATTGTGGACTGAAACATCCATTTCTAAAAGTCTCTTCGCACAACCCTCGTGAGCACATGAAAATCGATGGGGCACAAGTAACCACCCACCTCAACTAATTCTCTGTTGGCCACTTACCGTGTATGTGATCACTGCCAGCATGCCAATCAAGGTGAGCGAGCTGATGGAGAACGACAGGGCGGCCAGGCCATCTGCAAGACAGAGGGGAAATTTATTTATGACATGGGCCAAATGCAGAGCTCTGTTAAGTTTTGGTCATACGCCAGATATTCAGAGCAGTCCTTTCCTCCAGGGAAATTTCTCAATGCACCTCATCTTCTCTCCACTCTCACTATCATTTCTCTCAACCTGACATAGTTACTGAAAGGTCAGCTAAGTTTTTGACCTCTAAAATGAATAGTCAATAGTGTTGAAAATATAAAGGACATTCAGTTAAGTTATTCATTTTTTTTTAGTAGTCGATATCAATACCAATAAAATTTCACAATTCTTGATATTACAGCAAACCTAACATGCAACTAAACATGCTTGATTTAAAAAATAATGTATAAGTTTAAGCTTTAAGTAAATTTGATTAAATTAAGTAAAAATTGCTAGAAAAAGGTAAATAATCTGTAAGAGGACAGAATAAATACACACATGTATTTAAAAAAGTACAGCTGTAAGTTAACTATGGAAGCTTGTTTCTGCCATAGAATGAAAAATATAAAAGGTAATTGCGACTTTTTATCTCACAATTCTGGCTTTTTTCTCACAATTGCGAGTTTACTTCTCGCAATTCTGACTTTATTTCTCAGAATTGCGAGATATAAAGTCAGGATTGCAAGATATAAAGTAAGAATTGATAGATACAAAGTCGCAATTGTGTGTTATAAAGTCAGAATTGTGAGATATAAAGTAAGAATTGCTAGATATAAAGTCGCAATTGTGTGTTATAAAGTCAGAAATGCATGATATAAAGTCAGAATTGCGAGATATAAACTATTCTGGGGGGGGGGGGGGGTTGTCTTTTTTTCCCCTTAGAATTGGCCTGATAAGACACAATTGCGAGTATATATCTCACAATTCTGAGAAAAGATGTCAGAATTTCGACACATAAACTCGCAATTATGAGTTATAAAGTCAGAATTGTGAGATGTAAACTCGCAATTGTGAGAAAAAGTCAGAATTGTGAGATAAAAAGTCGCACTTCTGTCTTTTTTTCTAAGAATTGCGACTTTATATCACCCAATTCTGACTTTATCTCGCAATTCTGACTTTATATCTCGCAATTCTGACTATAACTCGCAATTCTGACTTTATAACACGCAATTCTGACCTTATATCACGCAATTCTGACTTGATATCACGCAATTCTGACTTTAGAAATCGCAATTCTGACTTTATATCTCACAATTCTGACTATAACTCGCAATTCTGACTTTATAACACGCAATTCTGACTTTATATCACGCAATTCTGACTTGATATCACGCAATTCTGACTTTATTATTCGTAATTCCGACTTTTTATCTCGCAATTCGGAGAAATAAATTCAGAATTGCAAGATATAAACTTGCAAATGTGATTTATAAAGTTAGAATTGTGAGATAAAAAGTCACAATTATTCATTTTATTTATTTTTTTATTCAGTGGTGGAAACAAGCTTCCATAGTTAACAAACTGAAATTGAGGGAAGGACAAACAAGCAATAACATGTCAAATAAAACAACTTGAATTAATTTGAAAAGAATCACAAATCAATTTGTCCGTGACTGTTGTTGTACAAACTTAAATTGTTACATGCTGAATATAATATATAACGTGTGCTGTAAAAGACAAAAAAGCTGGCCTACAAGCCTCACCAACTGAAATACAAAACAAAGCAGAGATCTTTCAGCTCTTTCAGGTTATTACCATAAATTATCTGGCGCACACCTGTATGGCTTGACTGCTTGTTTCAAAAGAAATTGCTTTATTTTTCATATTTTAGTATGGACCTGGTAACAAAGTACATCTGACATTTTGTGAATCACCAGTCCTCAAAATACAGGATGAAACAAGGAGCCGGGAGAGTAAAAATGAATGAAAAGAGGAAAGGGCACGATGCCAGCAGTCAGATCTGAAGCCAGCTGAGGCAGATTTATGGGAAGTGACCGCCACAGCACTTCCTGTTAGGATCCCACCTGTCATAGGGAGCGAGAGAATTGAACAATCACAAACTCATGTGATTCCCCATTTCCTCTAGTTCTGAGCTATGGCCCAGCGGAGCAAAACACAGCATCCTGGCAGCCCTGAGCCCAGAAAGCCCCCTTCTGCCTGCAGCCTACCTCAAATGAATGCAACCTACTGCTCTCTGTTTATTTTCCTCAGGAGCTGCTTTACATCACTCATGAAATGACTTCTTTCCATTTTGTCAAACCACATGAAGTCAGTGAACTGTTTGCCGCGCCACCCACCACGTTCCATACACAAAAAAGCCCCAAGACACAAAAGCCGTCGAGAAGAAATGAAGATGATTACACTCCTGCTTCCTAATGTAGCAAACGGAAGAATATAAAAAAGAAGGGACGCTTTGATGTCTGATGGCTGAAATGAGCATTTACATCTGAATAGGTGTTTCCCTTTGTGATGTCCCCGCTTTTGTTAAGTGGCGAAGGCGCGATGCCGGAGACAATGGCTTTCGTGTTTGGTACGGAAAGCGGCTCTGTTTATGAACTCCTCACAATGCAGGAGAACCTGCGTTTTCTGTCGCTTCCGCTGAATACTTTCTAAGGGATTGGACAGAGAATATATTGTTTGTTATCTGCGGCGGCTCTACAGCTGCTCTAGCGCCTGATTCCTCGGCACCGGGAGAGAGTGGAGGCCCTTATCTCGACATGCACGGAGCTCCTCGGGCTTATGCACGCGAAGGAGACCGCTGCCACTGAGAAGAGTATATTAAAGAGCTCTTAGCTGAGGTATTCACAACATGAGCTTGCTATGATAACCTCATGGAGATGGAAAGCAGCTTGCTAGAAGCTAACCCATTCGCTAGATTCTGGATTACTGAAAAAGAGAACGCGCGCTGCTCCCAAACAAAAATCGAGCAAACTACTTTGATTGAGAGAGATTTTATCTTAAAGGGGCATGAACTGGGTTTTTAAATTTGATTATATTGTTGTCTGAGGTCGACTTATGATGTTCGCTTGGTTTTTGCATTCAAAACATCCAAAGGAATAAGTAATAGGCTATTTTCTACCCTAGTTTTGAGCCTATCTGAAAAACGCTCGGTTTTTATGGGCGTCTCGCACTGAAGACATGGAAGTAAACGCCCACTGCTGTGAGTGGATAACAGTTTTGCATATTATAATGAGTTTCGACTCACTCGTCAGTGCATTGGAAGAAATTGTTTTGAAAACCTCCAATGTTGTAAAATGGCAACTGGAATGATTCTCCCATACATGTTCGACCCAGAGTCTGTGTGTTGCACCATTCCTGCCAGATCCAATATACAGTAGATGGCACAAACTGACCATCATTACAGACACGAGTCGTTTGCTGAGGCCCCGTCCACACTACTGCGTTTTCGTTTAAAAACGAAGAATTAAAACGAATACGATCTCGGTCCACACCAGCGTTTTATCTGCGTATTAGAAACGATCTCCGTCCACATTAAAACGACTGAAAACGCGGATCACGTGACCATTCACCAACACTGGGCATGCGCGTGCCGGTGTAAACAGTGAATGACGAATCAGGAAGGGATACGTCATGACTGATAACACCCAATCATAGAGCCAAGCGTCAGCGTTTCTGAAGTTCTCCGTTTTGTCTCGTCCACGCTAAAACGCCCTCCGGATATTCAAAACGCAAAACGCAGCTGCAGCGTTTCTAAAGTTCTCCGTTTTAGGTCTTCGTTTTTCCCGTTTTAGTGTGGACGGGAGGTGCAAACGTAGCAAAAGGTCTCCGTTTTTAAACGAAAACACAGTGGTGTGGATGGGGCCTGAGGCTGGTGTCAATAAAAGCTTTTATTGGACTAACAAGGCTGATTTAAGTTCTGAAACTTACAGGATATTCTTATAATATGATGACCTCTTAGATGTCAAAAGCATCACCCCTTTAAAGCTTAAAAGGTTTGAACATAGCCATATGCTAGATCTATATAATATGTAGCAACTCTTGAAAAAAAGCAAGGCACCAATCTTAAAATTCTGACTGTTATCAGCCAATAAAGAATAAACCAATTATATTCATTTAAATGTTAGACAATCCAGTCTAAATGAATAAACAGATAAAAGTAAAAATAAGTCAATCATTTTTTAAGCTACAAGTTAATTTATGCATTACAGCATTATAATGTACAGTATGAAAAACTGATATATTTTGAGATGTTTTAAATGAATATTTTCAAAGATTAAAATAAATGAAATAGTATATATATATAGTATATTCTGGCTATCATTACAGACTAGCTCTATGTAAAATGATGTCACCAAATTAGATTCAGCATAGCTGACGCCGGATGCCTTCTCGTCACACTACGTCACGCAAGCTTCAATATGAAATGTGAATCTCCGTGAAACACATTAAGCTCAGCGGGAGGGTAAATCAGAGAACAAGAGCTGTCTGAGTGGATTCTGGGTTTGGGTCTCTGCTGCATAATTAAGAGGAGACTTTTTCCAAGCCTATGTCTGTGATAAGATCAAATCTCCAGCTGTCTACCCTTCTGCACGCTCCCTCGCTCTCTCGCCTGATTCATACCTGCTAATGGGGAATTGGCTATTGCATTCAGGTTACATTTTACATCTATTTCACTCAGGGGAACCGGCAACAAAACCGCCACATATCTGCGGAATCGGAATTGCAGACTCAGGATGACGCTTGGTTGAACTTGTCAACTTGTCCTACCTTGGATCAAGATGCTCATTCGGGAATCCAGGCTTTTCAGGGACATCATAACCCTGCTTATCAAACACAAGGGGTCTGCTAGTTATTCATTTCGCATGTGGAGTGGGGATGAGGAGCAGGGTACCAAGACCATCAACCTCTGCTGCAGATTTTGACAAACAAGCCTGTTTCAACAGGGGCCTTTTTCTGATGTTCCTTCCAAAAAGTCATTTTTTTTCCTTCCTTTTTTTTGGCTTGATTTCTATTCATTAGGCAAGGGCTGCTAGGAAAGGGCAATGACAGCTCTAAGACCCCCTCAGAGGAATCAGGCACTGTCTCAAAAAGCCACAGACTTACTCCAGGCTATTGGATTAGGCTGTTTTTTTTTTTTTGTTTTTTTTTAGTGGCATCATTCCTGCCAGCTTGAGGGTCTTCAAGGGAGGGTATAGCAAAAGTCAAGACCCAACCTAACAAGGGAACATCTCTGAAAGAACACCATGATGTCTCACACTTGCTTTCTTGGAGCAAAACAAACCTTGGCACAAAAACATGACTTGTGACTTGTTATGCGACCTTCACATAGCCTTTAGAATAAGATAGGATTGAACGAAAGGCTCTGGAGAACATTGACACTAAAATATTCAAAAATGGAAACTACTACAGCTAAGAGAAATGAGAAACATGTTAAAAAAAGTTGTTGTTTTTTTTTTTAAAAGGAATGATCCCTCGTCCTCACCAGAGTGAAAGCGCCAATGTAATTTTGTTAAGTTGTTTTAGTATCATTGATATTCCATTGTAGTTTTTGTCACAGTTTTGTTTTGGTCTTTATTTTTTATTTTTTTTAAAGTGTTAGTAATTTTGTGTGCTTTTTTATGTCAATATAGTTTTTATTCATTTTTAGTTTTCATTTTTGTTTGAGTTATTTTAGCTAAACTGAATGGAAATTAGAAATGTTGCCTTGGCAACTAGCTAAGTTTGAATTTTAGAAATAACCCAGCAGTCTGCATGAAAGCAGACTGAGAAAAAAAAAGAGGTGAATGTAAATGGTCATACAGAATCACATATATTGTAACTGCAGGTGCAAATATGTGCCTGCCACTCCTGCTTCAAATGGAAGCCTTGATTGACACGTCAAAAGCAGCTGGCCTTTCCTTTTTTTTTTCAAGACAGCAAATTTAGGAAGCACAATGAGGTCTGTTGACATTGACGAGGCTAAATGTCAATGCTGCCAAACCCACACATCACCTCTAGTCGTGGCTCGGCAGCATCCGTCTCTCTCTAAAAAGCACCTGTCGTTTCGGTGTTGTGGCCCCCGAAAGGCTTCAATAAAGCTTTTTTGCTGTTTTCTTTGCATGTGTCAGTAAAACTGCGCTGCAATTTCATTCAAAGAGGCGTTTCCGGTACTTACGGCTACTGCCCAGCTCCTCGAACAGATACTGCACCTTCTCCCACTGAGTCGAGTTCTGGTTGGGTGGAGATTCCAAGGGAACAAACGTCCTGAAACACAGGTTTATATTTCTCAATCATAATGTCATTATTTATACACTACCATTCAAAAGTTGTGGGTTGGCCAGGTTTTTTTTTTTTTTTTTTTAAGTCTCTTGGTGAGCATAAGGCTGTAAAATAATATTTAACAATAATATATCACTTTCAAAAACAACAGTATCCACATACACACTGTGACTTAAAGGGATAGTTCTGTCATGAGTTCTATTTGGCATGGTAATGTGTATGATATGTTTGGTTTTGGTAGAATAGACCTGATACGATGCTGCTGAGGAGCAAGTACGAGACAAGTAAGACATGCTGCTGCTGTACAATATAGTGTACATGAATGATCCGTAGCAGATCTATACAGGTGGAGCTGGGGATGGTGGGGGGTTTCTGAAAGCACACTGCACTGCTAAGATAAATGATAACCAAGTATTTGAAGGTTGAGCATGCAAGCTCATTGGCTACTGAAACAGCAGCAACCAATCTGCTGTGCCTTATAGAGAATGATGTGATTGCAAGCAGAAGCAGGTTGAGTTAAAGGACCTATTAGCCTTCAAAGAGTTTCATGATAGAACTGTACCCTCAAGTTGTTCCACACCTGTTTGGTTAGCCATATTCTTTAAAATATATTTTGTGTTGAGAAGAAAGAAACGATGGCCAACACAGTGAGTAAATGACTGAAATGATCAAATCAAATAGAATAGAATAATATGGAATTTTATAAAATAAAATAAAAATGAATACATGATAGTTTTGATATTTTTGATTCCAAAAAAACTCTGTTATTTTGGGTTAGTTGTGAGGGCACATCCAATGAAAGTTACATTTCTAAATATCAATAATATACATGATTTATCATGGGGAAAAAAAAGCATGATTAGGCAAGATTTCCTCAAATGTATTATAAGCTTTAAATGTGCATTATACAAAATTGACAACCAGTGGTTGCACTGGGAATTACAGTCCAAATTCAAAATATTGGAGAGGGTTTTTTTTTTTTTTTTTCCTGCCAACTTTTTTATTGTAATATAGTGCAATATGATTTTATTAGGATTTGTGATCTCTGATCCAGTTTATGTGCTGGCTTCCAGGGTTTTTTTGTTTTTTTTTTGCAACCAGGGGTGTCGAAATACTATTGGTTAAATTGACAGAGGGGCGGGATCTCAAAGGAACAAAACAAAAACAGACATTCCGACACGGAATGCACATTTTCATATAGAATAAATGGCTGTAGCATCGTTTTACAGAGACACAATTATATGTACTTTGTTTCTAAATCTCTGCAAACATGGTATTTTTATGCTTTAGTAGGGTAAAAATGGCATAGAGCGCCTTTAAGTGGAGTTACTTAGTGCACCTTGGCTTTATCCAAAAGGCAAATTGTTTTCTTGTATATGTATGTATACTTATAACTGGCTGACGACACGAGTACTGTGAACTATCGTGTAGAGATCATGTACTCAGCTCATGAGATGTATCGCCGTGAGCTTTAAAAGACACAGATGACACAGTATGCTAACATTCTGAGCAAAAACATGCAACACTAAGAAAGTAAGTCCTCTCCAATGAGGAGAACACTCACAAGATGAGATTACATAATCAAATACCTCAGGCAACAGCTGCTCTAAAAAAATAAACTAAAACCCACAAGTTTTAACGTTTTCAGTAAGTTTCAGTTTTAGTTTGTATACCATCAACTCTCTATCCATCAATTATACCTTATACTTATTAGCTACATATACCTTATATATATATATATATATATATATATATATATATATATATGTAAGCAATAAGGTACGAGAGGCTGTGCTGTATCGTGAATAAGTACCTTCAGCTGTTATAAATAAAACGGTTAGCTCCAATCCATGATTCTGATTGGTCAATAGCTGTGATCTGATTGGTTAATAGCTTGATTCATGAACATGACTATAACCACTTCAGCCAACGGTTCTATTTATCAATGCGCAACACTGCAGTTCATAATCTTGTTTTTATTTGAGCTTTCATGCATATTACACATTGGAAGTTTGGAACGTTGTTGCTTCTATCGATTTTACTTCATGGAAGTTGCACTAATACATTTTTTTTTTTTTTACTTTGACATTTTTATTGTGTGGTAACCGTTTTATAAAAGCAATAAGGTACTCGAGGCAAGTGCTATATCGTGAATAAGTAATGGCTGAAGGGCGTTGTTAGGCACGACGCAAAGCGGAGCCACTCGGACCTTATTACTTACATAATAAATCACGATGTACACAGTATAATTATATTTATATTATAAATTTTCCACATAATAAGAATAATAACTTATATTATCATTCCCATCCCCATTTTTAAAGTTTGTCTGGATATCCAAGCAGCAATATAAGATGTAAAATGTTTATCACATTGCAGTTAAAATTACTATCAAACTATACGACACAAAATAAATAACACATAATACCTGTTAAAATCCAGTCAGCAACTAAAAGAGCCGTATTTAAATCACAAAAGTTGCAAATGGTTGCAAAATAGGGTCAATTTAAATGCAGCCATCATTCAGCATCACTGGCATTATCTGAGTGAGCTCATATGACGTGTCACTTCAGAAAAGCTGCGTCGTGCATGAAAATGTCATCTTTTTGGTGGTGTCAGTAAATTACATTGTAAACTGTACGTACAGCAAGATGCAGTTTCATAAATCGACCAAGGACTCCGTGAGGGTTTATGCAATGGTTCACATATCTGACCTCTGTATCCAGTTTCTCTGTTGTTTGTCATCATCAATTATAGTCCAAAATACTATGTAAGCAACAAAATTCTGTCATTTACTCACTCTCATGTCGCACCAACATGTAAATTCTTGCGTTCATCTTTGCAACACAAATTAGAATAATTGTATAAACCTGAGAGGTTTCAATGCAATTCATTAGGCAATTCATTATCATGCAATCAAACCTTTGAAGATCCAAAAAGGTCATAAAGGTGTCTTAAAAATAATTAATATCAATCAAGCAGTTTAATCCAAGTCTTGTGAAGAGATATGATCGCTTTTTATGAATAGAATTAATTTAGGGGTTTATTTGACTTTTTTTATGATAAAAGCACATACACAGAGTGCATCAAATACGGTAAACAGAAGCGTAACATGCGTCACATACTAGAACAAACCTCACTGGTTCTTGTACATAAGCTTGCAAAATATTTGTGAATAAAAGCCTAAATTAGAACTGTTCATCATATAAAGTGACTGTATCTCCATTCATATGGATTACTTTTAGGAAGCCTTGATTTGGTTGCATGAAATTTCAATGGAAGAACAGAAACCTCAGATGATTCATTAAATATATATTAGGGGTTTGGAATGAATGATCAGAGTAAATGATGACAGCATTTTATTTTTGGATGAACTCTCCCTTTAAACTTTACACTGCCAGTTAGAATAACATTTGTAAATATTAATATTACATTATATTGCATTAGATGTTAACTTAAAAGGTCACAACTAAATCATTAAGCAACTTTTGCAGACTATTAAGCCAAATACACTCAGTTGACTAAGGATTTGTCTCAAATGTCCTCAAGAGCAAGTTTCTGTAACCTAAAATGACAAATGGGACACTATATGGTCTCGTGGACTTCACAGACACGCACCAGGTCCACATGTGTCTAGAGTTTAGAGTAGACCACGCACGGCATTGATAGAGTGCACTTAGAGCTCTCGAGACATCCCCATGGGTGTGAGCGTGTGCATTGGACTACAGAGGGTGGGAAGGGTCAGTTCTCCATTTATAAGTCCCATCCTTACCGCAGACCAATCAGAACAGGCAAACAAAAAGAAGTCACACTCCAAATGAACAATCTCAAACACAGGATCTTTGCGTTTCACCCTGAGAAAAAAAGACGACGGAAAAAAGCCATCATGTCCTCCCCATCAGGAACCCTGAGACACAATACTCCTGGTAAAACACCGCACTGGTTCAAAAGGTAAAATGAACACCAAATTGCTTCTGTCCAAAGTGCCATCCCCACTTTTAAATTTGGTCCACGGCATGTCCCTCTTCCCATTCTGCGATCAAAGTAACCCATCCCACTGGGTCTATACGACATGAAGGTGTGATGAAGGTATCCCGCCCCACAGGAACACTATTTAATGGTTGAGAGCACATTAAATTATATGACCTGGTGAGCAGACGTGTTATTCTTGCAGCGGCAAAGAAAATCCATTATGTTTATGCTGCACGAGCACTGCTGAGAACAAAAAGTATAAACTCGAGGTTAAATGGGACAAAGCCACAACCATGTATGTTTACACATTTAGACTGAATGGTGGTTTTTAGTTCAGTTAACCATTGGACTAAAATTGTTACATAGCTTGACAAAAAAAAAAAAACATCCAAGGTCGTGACAATCTTCAGGTTTAAAGGTGCCAAGTAATTCGATTTTATTCTTTTATTTGAGGAAACTGAAGAAAATAAATAAATAAATTCCCGGATTCTTTGGCAAATACAAATCTTTTGTAAAATTAGGAATTCCATTACTGTCAGCTTGTGTGAATTTAATGCATACTTTCTGAAATAAAAAGTAATAATAATAAAAAAAAAGAGAGAAAGAAAAAAAAAAACAGTTTTAAACGGTAGTGTACCAATGGAAGAGTTGAAGGGGGGGTTGAACATTTGGGGAAATCTGACGTCAGAAGTATCAGAAGCAGAGAAACAAAAGACTACAAATATTACAAGGTCTAACATTTATATTTGTAATGATAACCCACACTGAGAAATCATACACAGTAACACCAGGAATCTGCATCAGAAAGTAAATAGGCTAATAAGTTAATGTTGACTTTAACATACTTTAATATAGATTTTGAGCTCGTTAGAACTAAACTGGGCATATCTGACTTATCTTTAAAGTAAAATATATTGGTTTTAGTCTGTGGCTAGAATTGATGTGCCAATCTAAGTTGATTAATAATATAAAGACAAATTAAATATAAAATTAAAGATAAAGTTGATGATCTGGCTGGAGTATTCTTTGTATTCTAAATTACCCAGAACTCACAGAAATGTCATAGTATCAGCACTGATGTGCCCACTGCATGTTATATCAAACTAAAAATATCTACATGGACTTGTATAGGTGTTTTGTCCAACAAAATGCTTCACATTTTCACAGCATTCTGTACAGCCGATAATACAGCTTGAAGATGATGACTGCATGATATAATAAAGCTCATATCGACCTCTCCACACACACAAACACACAAAGACTACTATATTCCCACAAAGCGCACTTACCCAATCAAAAGCAGCGCTGAACACACAATCACAAATCCTATTGTATACTTCAGTGCATTTTTCACTTGCTGTAATGAGAGAATAAAAACACGTTTATCAAACCACATTCATAAAGTTATCAATTCATAATAAATCATGCTTTATGTAAAGAGGGCCTTTGGGCTGGATAGAATTACATATTTGCAGCACTTAACAGTCACAGTCTCCTTAGTTCATTCTCTATATTACTATACTCATGGAGACATTGTGCTCTATTCCAAAACCTAGTGAGCTAATGCAGTGTCCTAACTGAAATGGAACCTTTCAGTTCCAGATTAAGAACAGAATTAGATCTACATAGGTAGCAACTTTGTGCCACTCATAAACAGGTGTCATCACAGAGAGACTCAATTAACATTTTAACATTAACATTGTGAATAAGTAAAAATGTTCCATTGTACACACAAATATCAGGTACAATTTTGCATTTTTAATTTCTGAACTAATCTCTGAACTAATCTAACTAGGGTTGCCAACAGTTCCGAATAATACGGAATATTTCCGTATTTGACACATAAAAGTCTTGGGCTAAGTTTCCCGATAAAGTGGTCTCTTAGCGCGCTACGAAGACTCTTAAGGTATAACTTAACTGAAGGTATACCATTTCTAGGTGTGTTCCTCGAACCATGCCTCAGGAAGCCCCTTAAGATATACATTCTTACGTGTGACGTTACCCAGTGCTGTCCGTGGCGATGGTGCTGACTTTGTTGATATCGATGGCTCGAGAATCAATTATTATTCGTTATGTGAGAAAGCGGTGTTCTTTTTAAAAGAAGCACTTCTGAAGTAGTGGAAATTGCATGTATTTGGACTCATTGGATATTATAAAAAATATACAATTACAAATTGCAAACTAAATTAAACCCTAGATATTTTATATAATTTCGTAAAGAGTGCGCGAAACGCACAACCTCTTGCTCAAACGTGTCATGCGACTAACCCACTACTGCATTAGAAAGGGCCACTTATATTATCATAATATATTTGCAATTATTTCTTTATTTACTTGATTGCCCAGCAGCTGCATCACATTATTGGCGTAAATAAACATTTTCTGTGATTGGATGACCTACTCAATAACACGCGAAACATTTAATCAATAGCTATGGCGGAGAAAAAAGAAAGAAAGACGAGAGCCCCCAGCTTTAACCCAACTGAAATGAACATTCTTTTAGATGAGGTGGCACTCCACAAAGATATTCTTTTTCGAGTTTTCGGACAACTGTGTCCAACAAAAAAGAAAATACCTGGGAACGCATTGCCATGAAAATGGACGGCGCCATCTTTGATTTAGCAGAACTATTCGCAGTATCGCTGCCATAGTTTGACCAAATTCCCCACCGCCGTCATTCTCTTTAAATAGACGAATAAAGGCCTGTTCACACCGGGACGAATTTCGCGCGCGTTATTCGTCGACGTTTAACGCCTCGTGACTAAACAATGGGCGCCAATGTGAGTGTTCACACTGACGCGAAAAACGCCACGCGTAAAAGCGTCATTTTTTAAAAAACGCCTCGGGTTCGTTTTTTTGGTTTGACGCGCCGCGTCAAAACCTGTCCGACCAACGAGATTGGCGGGTTTGCTCACGTGTCTGGTACTTGTGAAGTTACAGTAAAACACAACTTGAGGGCGCTCAAACACAAAACGGTCTTGCCGAGCACACATACGGCGAAGAAGAGACAAGATACCTATGGGCATTGGGCAAGATGAATCATGTTGAGCTGCTGGTCTCGGAGAATAAAGAGCTATACGATAATATTTATATTAGTATTTCTGTAATAATAGTATAGTATAGGGTGACCAACAGTCCTGTTTTCCCGGGACATGTGTAAAGCGGTCACTTTGTGCTTTATAGAAATCTGAGTTGAGATGAGAACTGCGCATAGTGTGCGTAATGTCAGTTAGATTTTGACAAGTGAGGAGAGGAGAACCGCTCTGCCGACTCTTTCTATTCTTTCTTTTATTTTATTTTCTATTGTGACCAGATGTTTGTTTGTGTTTTTTTTTCTCGCTCGATCCCCGTGTATGAGGAGGAGTGTGACGTTTGAGTGGTTTTATTAAACGCGGGGAAATACGACAACTCTCGTCTCTCGTGCATCTGTTCATCCGACAACTGCTATGTTTTTATCTCTGGGCAACATCTCAACTGTGCGTTACACATGTCCTGTTTCCACGTCCTGTCCTGACTGTTTTTAAGTGATGAAAATGTCCTGGTTCTCAAAAAAACTGCTGGAAAAGATCAGTCCTACAGCAAAATAGCCTATAGATGGGCAAACAAGGTGGACGAGGAAGAAAAACAAGATAAAGAGAATAAAAACTAAAGATATGAATAGATTTTGTTAGTTCGTTTTTGTAAGTGTGTGAGAGCTATTTTTTTTTTTTTTTACATTTGGAGGCATTTCTTTTAGTTATTTATTATTTATATATTTTTCTAATACAGAAGACATTATTTCTATCATTATTTCATTTGTTTTTTTCTATCTGTCATAATAAAACATTGAGACATGAATATGATCACCCTAGTATAGTATTCTATTATTATTTCTGTTTTACATTAAGCGCCATCTAATGTCAGGGAATGAATTTGCATGTTCACTCGGCTCATCGTCAGCGAAAAACGCTTGGGTGTGAACACAAAAAACGCGTTGAAAAACGCTGACGAATAACGCACGCTGATATTCGTCCCGGTGTGTACAGGCCTTAAGCCTTTACTTTCGAATGGTTTGCCAGCTGATGTACCTTTGGATAATATAATTACAAAGCTAACAACAATCAGTGTAATGACAATTTTATTATTTGCATGAAAACACTTGAATTAGCCAAATTGAACACTGGGTGTATTCAATTTAAAATAATATTCGTATAGACTGAGATTTTTGTAGTGGCGCCCACTAGCGAAGTGAACTGCCAACAGTGATAAGGTATCGTAAGAGTGCTCCAGACCAACCTTCCGAGCGTGTGACTTACAGAAGGTATACTTAACTAAGAACGTTTCGGGAAACAAGTATTAACGATAAGGTACAGCTTAAGGTGTAACTTAAGAACAACGTAGCGTTAAGGTGGTTTCGCCTTGTTCCGTATTGAACTGATCGGAGCGCACTTTGTTCCGTAGTTTTGAGAATCAATTCAGTGCAAATACAAAACAGACACATCTTGTAATATATGTCAGACAGACTATGAATGAACGAAGACCTGCTATAATGGAAAATTCGGGGACTTGGCGCCCCCTTGGTGGGCTCTGATGTGTAATGACGTAGAGAGTTGTCTCATTGGTCGCATGTCAGAGGCGCCCGCGCCATTGGATGTGCACTTCAGTTGCCGCAATGCAGCCTATGAGCGAGCCAGACGGCATAGAAATATGCAGCAGAGATATATACACGGCTGTGCAGCTACAAATGCATTTTACATGTAGGCTTCACTAAATCGAGGAAAAGGAATTTCCGAAAACATTTGTAGGGTATGATAAGAAAAAATACTAAATTTAAAATATCATTTTTTGCACTTGAAAGAACATTCTAGAAGTCTAATTCTATTGAATAAGTTTGCACAAGGCAACAGAAAACTGCTGTGTATATTTTTCTTCAAATGCAGTCTAAGGCCTTGTTTACACGAGAACGCTCGCGGGTGAAAACGTAAAAATATTTTAGCTGATGTGCCTTTCGTTTACACGGTGAAGGTGTGTTTGAGGCTTAAAAACACAAAAAAGTGAAACCACCCTCCAGAGTGGAAATCTTAAAATCATTCCACCGCCGCATTCCCGTGTAAACGGTAAAAACGCAAAAGTCTGCTTGACAGTGAAGGTTGTACGCAGGCGCGTAGACTTGGTGTTGTTGTAGTATGCACTCCTAGCCGCCTGAAGTGCATACTACATTGAATTTCACACACTTTTGCGTCACTGTTTGAACGTGGATTTCCCACACAAAACGCTCGTCTAAACGCAGAATAAAACGCAACGCAACGCCACTTTTGCTTTTTTCTTCAGAATCGTTTCCGTGTAAACATAGACTAAGCTGATGAGTTTTGAATGTTATACATTTTATTTGTTGAAATTAAAAATTATAAAAATTATAAACTAAACAAATCCATGGTTCATTGTTGGCAAAATTATCATGATAGCCTTTATATAACTAGCCTATGTGGTACAGTCATTGATTAAGCATACTTTGCTATTCTATAAATATAAGCCTAATAAGTGGCATTATAATATGCTATAACGTATGAATTTCAGGGGTCATTTCTTCCGTGCGACGGAATTTCAAGGGTCCTTTTCTCCACTTTCATTCCCCAACGTTCCTTATTACCAAATCAGAAAGTTGGCAACCCTAAATCTAACTGCAGCCACTTTTGGTTGTTTCAAAGGAGTGTAAAGATTAAAGAAGCTCCTCAGCATGTAATGTTGCACATCACTGTGGCATCCTTAGAGAAAATATTTTGATATTTGAAGTGAGCAGCATTACAGTGAGAAGGATATATTTTTTGCCACTTTATCACCTCACTGCAGTTAAGCCTCTTGCAGATGGAGTGAGGGTAAACTGAACTCACTGGGTTTTTTATAAATGAACTGCCATCAGTGTAATCAGGCAAATATCACTTAGCAATACCTCAAGGGCATTTCTGTTGATATGATTAATGCTAACTTTTCTAACCACAGACAGCAAGCCTTGCTTTACACAGTAGTATAGTACACGCTATTTATTGACTACAAATAGCTTAACATAGCTCTTTTCCCACCTAGTTTTTTCATTTTTGTGTGTAAATTATCCCCGTAAGGCAGAAAAGGCGATCCGTTTTAGAGTGCATGAGTGTACTAGATTGACAGGAAGGAGTGTCATGTTTACCAAGCACTTGTTGATGTTGTCTTCATCTTTCTCCTCGTAGTAGAAATACACAAAGGGGATCCAGAGGAAGACGCAGAACAGAATGATGGAATACAGAGCTGGGAAAGAGAAAAGATGGCCAGTTACACATCTTGAACACAATCAACAACCAGGATCCACATTATACATACTGTATACATGACATAAACGTTAGGGGTATGAATACAAATCAAGGGTGAAATCAGTGTCATTACATGTAAAGATTCCTAGAAAACAATACAACTCCCACATGATGAGTCCTAAGCCCCAAAGCACAGACAAGCTGAAATAATCAAGTTAAAAGAGCAAAGATCACTGATATTGCAAGAGTTTATGCAACAGACTGTGACAAGCAGAGAAAGTGATTTTGTTGATTCCTCTCTTTCCCTGTCAAGCAATGAATTAAAATTGTCAGCTTGGCCTATTTCAGTCCAGAAGCGGATCACACACTTTTGTGACCCTGTAAATTGTTATCTTTCCCTCTTCTCATGTAGGTTACTCAGTTAATACAGGCGATATGAATATCACAATTGTTCTTTAGTTCAGAAATTGTGTCAGCCCTGGAGATATGTTTGTATACATGAATGGAATGGATTAAGAAACTAGCTAGATACACAAGGAGAAAAATCCTGGACGACATCTCCATATAGAAAAAGGTCTGTAATCCCACAGACTGTATCCCATACTGGCATCACACCAGAACGGCTTGCAATGACCTTCTGTGAGTGAAAAAAAATGATCCATCATTCTGTCCACGGTTATGTAGGACAAAAAGCTCATTTCCACGAACATGTAAACATGCTCTGCACACATCAGTCAAACGAGTACATACGTGTTCATTTAGATAGATGTGTGAAAAAGGACAGCGGAGTGCATTTTTGTCGGGTGGGGGGGAAACACAAATGTTTTTTAACAGCAGGCGAGGAGAAAAACAGAGCAGCCGCAATATATCAAAATAAAAACATAATGGGATGAAAATGGTTATTGTTATTGTTTCATGAGCCCTGCGGCTGATTTTGCCAGCTGTTCGTGTGCTTTTCAAAACTTTTTTTTTTTTTTTTGATTGCTGCACTTTTTCTGGATTACTGTGAGGGATTTGCTCATATGGCTCATATCTGTGAGTTCAGTGGATCAAAGCCGCTCATACAGATAAACTCTGCGCACTCACACAATTTACCTTGTTCCATCCGGCCATTGCACAATTTTATGTGATTAAAGCATTTCTCATGGTTTTGAATATTTGTGTAATGCTTTCGAGGGGTTCAAACTATCCTGTATCCTGACAGAAATACCAAACAGTTCGTTTTTTCAAGGTAAAGCCAATGCATCACACTCTAGACCGATCCAACACACCCGGGATCCATTTGCTGCAATTAGAAATACAATAACAATTTAAATCGTGTCTGTCAAGAGTGCCTGCTTTTGTTCATTAGCGTGTTTGCTAAGGAAAGCATTAGAGCCAGCCCGATATTATAGGCCGATATTAGGCATTTTCCATAATATCGGTATCGGCAGTTATAATGGCCGATAAATGAATATTTAAAAAATAAAATAAAAACGGACGAAACGCGCTTTAATCATCTCTCCTTGGCCTGTTATATTGAAAATGTTTTTTTTTACAATTTGCAGTATGATGTTATCTATTGCTAAATTATGGCTCATCATAGACTAGCTAACCACAAAGCAAGCTAATGCCACTATCATCAGTGGAAGACCGCTAATGAGCTTGGAAAGCACAATGAACTTTTTCTGCCTAAATAAAGTAATTATTACTGTATTTATAACTAGCATATCTCTAGTTGCAGTCCCTGCATTGTAAAATGTAAGTTATACTTGCGAGGAGTGAACATTTAGACATAGAGAAAAAGTATCAAACGTATCTTGTGCAGAAAAGTTAGCTTTTCTTTTACACGTGTGTGAAATCCAACAATATTTAATAAAAAATAAAAAATAAAATATCAGCCGATATATCGGATTTTAAAACCCAAAAATATTTGTATCGGTATCGGCCTTCAAAATCCTTTATCGGTCGGGCTCTAGAAAGCACCCGTTTCTATAGCTCATACTTAGGATCTAGGTTTTGAAAAATCATTCATATCAGTTTAGGCTATAGACATAAGTGACGCATCAAAAACCATCAGTGTTTACTGATACTCATGCTTTCTACTTATTGGTTATTATTGTACTACTGGTCAAAGCCATTGTTTCTTATGTTTTTCTTATTATTGATATTTTTCAGCTGTGCTTTAATTAGCATGCTGACAATACTGTGCATGTTTGCATGGTGAATCCTTCTCAGGTTTGAGGAAAGCATTTACACTTCAACATGAAATATGAAGTGTAATTCAAGATGAATGTTTCATGTAGCCTTTCTAAAACAATGGAACGAACCAAAGCAGCCATTATCTCACCGGGAGCTGTAATTGCTGTCATTGAAGCGATGACATTTCACTTTCACATTTGCTGGCCCTCGTTTTCCACAGCATGTTGTGTATTTAACCAGTATGCTCTCGGTACTTCAGTGCACTACAGGAAGTGTGTTATTAACCAAGATGCGCAATGTGTTTTGTGAGGAGGCACAAATAGGAGATCTTTTCTTTTTGCTTGCTTCATCGTCTTAATTAAAACTTGGGACCATTTGGAGGGATTTAATGTCTTAAAAGTGAGAGCAACCTATATACTGGAGCGCCCACCCTGGTTGTGATTGTCTGATTATGTTCTTTCTTTTTTTTTTTTTTTTTTTGTTTGGTTTCATGTTCTGACTCATGCTAATAAATCACGTTATCACCTCAAGAAAGCATTCAGCCAAGAGTGTCTCGGTCGGGAGTTATTTCGGGTTTACTGGGCCTGTCTTCAGAGACATCCATTAGCTGTAGATAACCCCCCCTCCAGCCTAAAATAGCTTTGTAGCCCCTGTATAAGTGTCCGCTCCTCAACTTCCCATGAATTTATAATGCCTAGTGGTGTTATCGTACAGAATATTAGAGCTGTTTCACTTGCTCAGAATCTGCCAAACACAATATGGAGGCATTTACCATCAGTGCAGGGGGGAAAGTGGAGGAATGAAGAGAACTGCATATTCACTGTTTTTTTATATTGACTATTTATTGATACTATCAAACTATCTCACAAGAACAAGTTAGTTAAAATATTATGCATTTCAAATTGCCACTTTCAATGCAAGTCCATCTGCCAATCCATCCAAAATCTTTATTACTTATGTTTGACTTTTACAATTATTTTTTAAGGTTATTTTTTTTTTAGGTAGTCAAAAATGTGGTTTAGGCAGAAAGGGAATTATGAATTTGTTTATGCTTGCTATTACCGAAACAATTTATGCGTAGTAATCAAATTGTCTGTTGACCCATGTAACATTATATTCTAATAAATAATCCACCAAAATTTACAAATCTGACTGAGGATACTCACCAAGATACTAGGACTGGGAAATAAATATTGATTTCTCGATATTAATCGATTCTCATTTTTACGAACCGATATCGATTCTTAAATCTCAAGAATCGATTAGTCATCCTGTTTCATTTGAATGAATGGGACATTGTATCACGGCTGCGCGCATCCCAAAAAAAAGTAAAAAATAAAAAAAAATAAAAAAATCACAATAATCTTTGTCCTGCTTTGTTACTATTGATATGAAACAAAGTCTCAATTTTCAAATTACATCCATTTTCTTTAGAAATTCAAAAACATAAATAGTGTTTTGGCGCTGTGGCGTGAGATCGCTCTGGCGCAGCTCATGAGAAGCAGCAGCGCTGATCTCTCTTCCGGCTTAATAATACCAGTTACAGCGCGAAATAAACATGAATGAGCATCTGAAAGTGTGTTAAAAGATAGAGTACAACTTATCGAAATCCGTATCATGTCACATTGATTCGCTCAATCACCGTTTCAACCGTGGAAAGACGTCAGTTAAACAGTTTGTAATCAATGTCATGTATCGTCATATTTACCTCAGAAAACCAGACGCAAAAGAGAGGAGCATTTTGCTAAATATATACACCATATTACATATGCATTATAATCTTAATGTTCTTCAATATTGAATGCATATTTGGCAAGTTTTTATGACAGCCACCATTTAAATGTTTTTATGTCATATAATCTTCTTATTATAAAAATAAATAAAAGTGTAATTTAAGTGTTTGTATAGCTACAAAACATTTCATTATTACCTTCATATTAGGCTAATGAAGTCTAAAGGTTTACAGCATTAAAGAGATTTGATTCCCTTGAGAAAAATGGCCATTTATTGTAACTAACTGACATCCAAAATAATCGATATTGAATCGAATTGTAATCGAATCGAATATCAAGCTTGTGAATCAAAATCGAATCGAATTGTGAAATTTGTCTCAATACCCAGCCCTACAAGATACTGAAGTAAATTCTGAATTTTGCGTCTTCTTGCGCTTGTATGGTTTGAAATCACTTGCAAGTTTAAATTGTAAAGACTAAAAAACACGTTCAAATGATAAACTTTTATGAAGACGAAGCACTGGCCCAATCTGGCAAAGTGACAATTCCGTCAACTGTCCCGATTCTTTAACGCTGGCCGCGGGCCATCGGGCAGTCCTTATTGTTCAGCAAAAAAAAACTATAATAATGTGAAATATTATTACAATTTAAGAGAACGGTTTCAATTTCATAAAGCTTTGTCTGTAAATTTGATTTAGATCATTCAAAACACTTACTCACATACAAGAGCAAGAGAATTGTATTTAATCTATTTTCATGCAATAATGTAAGCCAATCATAACAGTGGACATTTCCTGATAATTCTTAAAGGTTAAAAAGCCAGTTGAAAACGAAATGAGGGTTGAAAATCATTTTTGCACGCACAAAAAAAAAAAAAGTGTTATTAACATTATAAGTGAATCTCAAGGAATATATTAAAATGATGAAAAACAAAATCTGTGTCATGACCCCATTTAGGACATTGACATAAGACAAAAGAGCAATGCATTAATTTCAACAGGTTATAGTTTTGGCTATAACAATTGACTGTTTGCCTACAGAGACTAAAGCAGGACCATCCAATGCTAGCGACACACATTGTTGC